TTCACTCATGATTTGACTCTTTGTTTGTCTGTTACTGTTGTATAGGAATGCTTGTGATTTTTGCACATTGATTTTGTATCCTGAGACTTTGCTGAAGTTGCTTATCAGCTTAAGGAGATTTGGGGCTGAGACAATGGTGTCTTCTAAATACACAATCATGTCATCTGCAAATAGAGACAATTTGACTTCCTCTTTTCCTAATTCAACACCCTTTATTTCTTTTTCTTGCCTGATTACCCTGACCACAATTTCCAATTCTATGTTGAATAAGAGTGGTGTGAGAGGGCATCCTTGTCTTGTGCCGGTTTTCAAAGGGAATGCTTCCAGTTTTTGCCCATTCAGTAATAGCTATTGGTTTGTCATAAGTAGCTCTTATTATTTTGAGATATGTTCCAACAGTACTTAATTTATTGAGAGTTTTTAGCTTAAAGGGCTGTTGAATTTTGTCAAAGGCCTTCTCTGCACCTATTAAGGTAGCATGTGGTTTTTGTCTTTGCTTCTGTTTATATGATGGACTATGTTTATAGATTTGCTTATGTTGAACAAGCCTTGCATCCAGGAGCTGGTTTTTTCAAAAGATCATCAAAATAGATAAGTAGCTAGCCAGACTAATAAAAAAGAAAAGAGAGAAGAACAGAATAGATGCGATAAAAATTGATCAAGGGGCCGCTGATCCCAAAGAAATATAAACTACCATCAGAGATGACTACAAACATCTCTATGCAAATAAGCCAGTAAATTTAGATGAAATGGATAAATTCCTGGACATCTACACCCTCCTAAAACTAAACCAGGAAGAAGTTGAATCCCTGAATAGATGAATAATAAGCTCTGTAATTGAGGCAGCAGTTAATAGCCTATCAACCAAAAAAAAGTCCAGGATCAGAGGGGTTCAAGCTGAATTACACCAGAGGTATAAGTAGGAGCTGGTACAATTCCTTCTGAAACTATTCCAAACAATACAAAAAGAAGGAATCCTCTCTAACTCATTTTATGAGACCAACATCATGCTGACACCAAAACCTAGGAGAGACTCCACTAAAAAATTAAATTGTAGGCCAGTATCCATGATGAACATTGATGTAAAAATCTTCAATGAAATACTGAGTAACCGAATCCAACAGCACATGAAAAAGCTTATCCATCACAATCAAGTCGGCTTCATCCCTATTCACATTTGTTTAATCATTCATTCATTTAAGTTTACTTAATAAATGTGGAATGCAGAAGTTCTGCAGCTAAATTCATGGACTTCACCAAGCTTATAATGTGGTGGGAGAGACAGATAATAAACACAAACATAGTGGAGCAAAGTATTCTCATATTAATCTGTAATTTCCTTCACTGCCATAGGAGACTCAGAAGGAAGAGTAGTGTTTTCTCTTCTCCTACACTGAGAAGCTTTATTTGCATCTGGGCTCTGTAATCGTTAATAAATACGGTGATGCAAGGTTTCCTGAAGACGATCCTCCACCTCCAACAAATAAATGAATAGGTTTTTGTTTGACAAGTGAAGGACAAATGATAGAGGCTGCTACTGAGAGTAGAGAGGCAGTACTGGCCTTCCCAGAAGAAAAAGTGCTGGTGCGTGTGTTTGTTGAATATGAGCGAGCTGTGTACTTTAGGGGAGTGAATAGGAAGGTGGTCATCAGCTATAGCATGTACCGTGATTGGTACATTTTTCCTATTCCTAAGAACTACGGTGTACATATCAGTGCTTTGAGGAGTGGCAGGGGTTCCCAAGGAATGGCACATGGAAGCCAGGAGGGTAACACCAGGAGGAGGAGCTTTCAGAGCCCAACTAAAGATGCTCAAAAAGCCAGAGGCAGGCAGTGACACTGACAGAGCTCTCACAGTGTTCTAAACACTGTTCTCATTTTTGTGCATGTTTTAACACAGTTAATCTGCACAACAGCCCTGTAAGATGCATATTGTTTTATACAAGAGGAAACTGAAGCACAGAGAGGCTGGGGAATTTTCCCACACAGCTAGAAAGTGTCAATTTCATGCTTGGTTCATTTGACCACAGAAGCCATCCTCTTAATCTGTACACTATGAGACCTCATCAAATGAACATACCCACTCTAAATAGACCAAGTGGTTTAGACAAAGACTGTTTACATGGCAATCATCTTGTCTGGAGGGCTAGGAGCACTTTCTCTGTTTTCAGAGCACCATTTAAGCCCCTAAATTTCAAGTCAGCCCTGGGAATGAAGGGCCAATTCGTGAACTGTGACAGATACTGGATTTCTTGCTTCCCTGGTAAATGGGGGCCTTAAACCAAACAGAACAAGTTCCCTGCTTCTCTGCCATAGAGAAGGCCTCAATCCAGAGGGCTCTGAGATAGGTAAATAAGGAAATCCAATCTCGTCTAAAGGTGCTGCCAAAGGTGTCCCTGAGTGGCCTCTCACTTGTCTGACACCACCTTTGAGAGACATTTCTGATCTAAAAGTCTGTAGTTAGAAAGCGAAGGTTCCAGCCGCTGATGGGGTGCTCAGCTTCTCCAGCCGCACCTCTATGACATCTGGCTTGCCAGCCAGCCCTGCCCTGCGGCTCAGTTCTCCCTGTTCCACAGAGCTGGGGATGACTTTTCTCAATCGGTGAGCATGTCTTCATCAGAAAGTCTTTACGACTGACAAGATAGAAGGCATGAACCAAAAATGAACATAATAGGGAGAGCAATTGAAGAAACATGCAGAGAGGTCCCGGGTAGGCAGAAACACAGGGAAAAAGAGGGGTGTCCTCAGTAGTAAAACTGGCAGCCATGGTCAAGGTTTTCCCCTCTTACGATCTGATTATTAGAGTTTTTCTCTTGCTCAAGTGACACTGATGGCTCAGGCCTGCCCACAAACACACTAGTGCTCAGTGAAGCATCAAGGAAGGCTATTGGGACTGAATTCTTTCATTCGTCTCCAGGCTTTCACTCTCCTTGGTAGTAATTGAATTCTCAAGTTCTATCTGCCCTCAAAGAAAAAAGCACTAACTTAGCCTTGTCCCTTTCACATTTTTCATAAGGCACTAAAAGAACCACTATAATTTTTTAGTTACATAGATTAGATTTATTTTAAAATGGGCATGAATTATCATGGTCAGTATATTGCAAGTATGTTGGAAATGTATTCAAGGCAGGGAAACTTAAGCCTTTCCACAGTTAGATGCCCATAAAGTACAAATGCCTGTCAGCTTAGTGTGATATAAATATATTTTGAGTTATTGTGAAATTGACCTTTCCCTCGAAGGAAGCTTAGGAGTTTTGCCTTTGGAAATCTCATTGCCTCCCTGAGTTTCTTTTTTGTCTTGCATATTACTGCCTGTGAGCCTGCTGTAGACCCTCAGCAAAAAAGGATGCACTGGAGTCTGTGCTTATGCAGTATGTCATTTTGAAGAAAGTAAGCTGCAGTCATAACTGCATTTGCTAAATTGATAAATTATCTTTATCAGCTTTGTTCCTTTCCTTCATTCAGAGGCTCTCTTATCTGTCAGAGATTCTGGAGAGAAAGCTATGAATTCAAGAAATCTGTTTTAAAAAATATGTCCTTTAAGAAAATTCCTCTTTGAAAGCTGAGACTTCTAAATATTCTGAATATCTCTTGCTATTATTAGTTTAATGCAAATACATTATATAACTGAGTTTAATAATGAGATGAAGTAGTTAATATTTACCTAAAATGGCCAAAAATGGTTATAAGAAGTTTATTCCTGTATTACCTATTCTTTGCCTCCCTTGTTGCTTTTTTCTCATCTTTTGGCTGAAGTACATAGAGAACCATTCATTCAAGTCCCCCTTTGCCAGAATATTTTTCTGGAATTTTCCCTTCAATTCCACAATCCTAACAAAAATTTCATGTTAGTGAGCAAATACTTTCCTCCTAAACTGAAATTGTTTAGTTCCCACTTGCCAAAGCCAGCATGATTTGAACATTCCTCTTTGCTTAATATCAATCCCCATCAGATAATCATTAAATGAACAGAGGCTGCAGGTTAGAAGGAATGCTAACAATGCAGATAAAGCCCTCATAACTGGCAGCTGTGAATTAATTCAACCAGATCACAACCCAGGAGGGAGACTGTCAAAGGGAGCAGAGGGGGCTGGGAGAGTTGGCTTCGGTGCCTGCAACTTACAGCACCTTCCCCTAGGCCAAGCAGCCTGGCATTTCATATCTAAAGTCATCACAGGAATGAGACAAATTCCATTGTCCTATCTGGCAACTGCTCACCATGGCAAGTCAACCCCCTGTGACTGTCAGAAAGGGAAACAGTCACGTATTTTCACCCACAGGAATGAATTAAAGTGACTACTGACCCAACTAGGGGACCTTAAGAAAAGGGTCAACTGACCTCTTGAGCCATTCCATTTGCCAGTTCAAGGTGATCAGAGAATACGAGAACAGAACCTTGGGGGATCTGAGCTCTAATCTTACCCCCTCTTCCTCCTTTGATCTCTCTGAATAGCCTGCTTGTTGATTGGAACCTACCTTCACCATCAGCAAAAAACCACTATTTTGAGTTTCTGAGCTCCATGGCCAAGCTCTGCTCATGTTGGGTTGTTTTGCATCCTCAAGTAGCCATTTCAGGCAGGGGAACATTAGTGTATTCCTGAATTTGACCTGTAGATGGAAGCATTTTTAGTATCTGTTTTATCATTATTATACTTTAAATTCTGGATACATGTGCAGAATGTGCAGGTTTGCTACATAGGTATACACATGCCATGGTGTTTTGCTGCACCCATCAACCCGTCATCTATATTGCTATTTCTCCTAATGCTATCCCTTTTCTAATTCCTCTCCCGCAACAGATCCTTGTATGTGATGTTCCTCTCCCTGTGTCCATGTGTTCTCATTGTTTGACTCCAACCTATGAGTGAGAACATGTGGTGTTTAGTCTTCTGATCCTGTGTCAATTTGCTGAGAATGATGGTTTCCAGCTTATCCATGTCCTTGCAAAGGAAAAAAACTCATCCTTTTTTATGGCTATATGCTATTCCATGGTGTGTATGTATCACTTCTCAGCCTTTTGGCTACGATCAAGTGTAGAAGCATTTTTTGACCATGTGACACTTTTGGCTTCCTAGTCCTAGGAAAAAACAATCTTAGATTTCTAGGAAGAACTGAGAAGCTGAGGCACCAGACCCTTTGTCTGACATGGTGCATTTTTTGTGTATAAAATGCCTTTCCATATAAAAAGAAGTGTGAATATTTTGAGAAAAATCAGCAAAGAAGAAATTAGGAAATGGCCAGAGTTTACTTTCAATAGCAACAACCACCTAGGTCTCTTAAATCCCTCACACTATTAATTAAGCAATGTAAATGAAGATCGGGATTTATAACAACTTTTAGTTTATAATCAGTATAGTTCTCCATAAAGCTCAAAGTATTTTATAAATGAAACCCTCTATCTTTAACCAAAGGCCAATGGGAGAAAAGAGTTTAACATACATACTCTGCCCGACTGGCTGCTGGATTCTAAAACAAATAATCTTTTCACTGGGACCTTATTATAAAATTTTCTTGACCTTTCTTTCGTAAGGTTGGTAGGTTTTATTTAGAAATCCTACCAATGTCAAGGAGATTGTAGGTTACTGCTAATCACTGGCAGTAATTCAAATATGGAGCAATTATGTGTCTTGACATAGTTGATAACTGGACTGATATAGAAACTGAAATATAACTACTTTCTTACTCTGTACCTCCAGAAGCTGAAACCCAAGGTATGTTCTAATAAAGCTTTGAATAACTTTTCTGCCACTGAAAGAAATTAAATCTACAGCCTACACTTTGAATCATACTAGAAGGAAGACTGGCAGCCCTTGATGATATCAGGTATCTTACACTAGGGCATTCTCCAGCAAAAGCTCCAGTGTTCTGTGATAGCTAGGGGTATCCTAGGGATATTTTAGGCTATCTGCATAAGGATCAACCTAGAAACTTTGCTGGTATGCTCTTCTAAATATTTTCTCTTCAGAGGAGAGGAGATAGATAGGTCATCTACGTATATATATATAGTTTCTATATTAATACAAAGATAATGCATGTGTGTGTGTATATATATGTATGTGTGTGTGTTCATACACAAACACACAGTGAATGAAAGGCCACACAACCACACGAGAGAGATTGCATCATGCAAATGTGGATTTATTCGTTTAATCCAGTAATCCTAAAGTTAGCCCCAGGTAACTGTCCTGACCCTGAAATAAAGAGTTTTATGAGAAATAAGAGAAGGTGCAGTACGGTTTCCATCCTACCACTTATTTTCTTCTCCAGATACTACTGATATAAATCCTTTATTTCAGAGACAGGTTTCCTGAAGGACTCTTCTATCTCTATTCCTATTTCCTCACTTCCTACTCTTTTGTCAACCTACAGAAATGTAATATTTCCCCTTCACACACTTGGTGACAGTCCTTTCACCAAGGTGACCAGTGACTTAGGCATCCTTGATCTAATGGGAACTGCATTGATTATTTTGGCCACCTAGCAGCATTGAACATTATTCCTTCTTTGTCAAAACAGTCTCTTCAATTGCCTTCGATAGCACACTCTCCTCTGGCATGAGCTTCCTTCATGCCATTTCCCCATATTTCAGAACTACACTGCTGGCCTTCTCTTCTTCTCACTTTATAGTCTCTCCCTAGACCATTTTGTCCACTTACTACCTATATACTCATTTTTAATTTACCCCTATACCTCAAACCCAGATATGTCTTGTATACATAGACTTAAAAATACATACTACAGTTTTCAAGCTGCAGATCCCAACACATTAGTGAATTTGAAATCAGTTGTGTGAGTAGAGACAAGCATTTAAAAGTGAAATGTGGTATGAAGTAGCATAGCAAATATCAGTGACTCACATTTAAATAAAATATTTTTTTCATGAAACTTTTTTTTATTTGTGTGGAAGTTTGGGATTGTGATGTTTTTTACTCTGAATCATGGTCAAAAACATTGGAAAGACACTGGTCCATTGGACTTCAAAATACTATAAATTAGGTAGATTATAGACAACACAATTTTTTTCCCCCAATTTTGGAGGCTAGAAAGTCCAAGATAAAGGCACTGGCAGATTCGTTGTCTAGAGAAGGCTTGATGTCTGGTTCCTAGATGGTGCCTTCGAGCTGTGTCCTCACCTGGTGGAAGGGACCAAACACGCTTTCTTGGGCCTCTTTTAGGGCCATAATCCTATTGATGAGGGCTCTGCCATCATGATTTGATAACTCCCCAAAGCCCCTACGTTTTAATACCAACACCTTGGGGGATCAGAAAGAAACTTTTTGGGAAACATTCAGACCACAGCACAGGGTAACATAAAAGTTGAGTTGAATTCACCGACGGTACACCTTTAGCAGACTGCGGAGGGATCTGGCCAACATACTTAATGTTTTAAGACTGGTAGCAACCAATACTGAGCCCTAGATTTCACAGTCAGAGAAATGCCAAATAAAGTATTGAACACTTGGACTATGCAGCTGACCCAGAATGGTTTTCTTAAGTTCAGGAAAATGGGGAAAGGCTTGCTAACAATTATCAATAATATCTAACTGAATTCATATATGGATCCATTTTGTGATCCAATGAGGAACTACAAGTTTGCCTACAAGGCAATGAAACATTTTATTTATTCTTAGGAATACCAGGGTCTAACCAGTTAAACCTGGTGAGAGCTAATCAGGCTTTTCATTTGCGGTTGCCTACCATGAATTTTGATTCAGCCTAGCAAGGGTTAGTGTTTTCTGAAGTTAAGTTGACCTTCCTTCACTGTACCACAAAGTGAATAAAATGCTGTCTAATGAATATATAATCTTTCAGAGGAGTTCTTCATTGAAGGCTGCAGTTCTTTCAATTTCTATTGATAATAATTTCTATACATTTATGGAATGGAGAAAGTCTGCATCTCCTCTCTCAAGGTTATTATTTCAGGACAAATGATTCATATAGAAATACCCAGCTTCTTTGCTATACGGCTGGCTCTTCCTGAGGCACATTTAGTGGAAGAGATGGGAGCTTAGCCATAATTAGGGTTGGAGGCACCACTCTTTTCTCTCTTGGTGTGGCCCTTCTTCTAGGACCTTTTCAAACTGCAGACAAACAAATGCTCTATGAGCAGGAAGTGAAGTTGGAGCTACAAAAGTGAGAAGCCCTTGGAGGCAGGCGTCAGGGGCTCCAGACGTCTGCAAAAAAAGTTAAAAATGAGTCAATATGTGAAAAATTTGGAGGTGTTCTAAAGCTTTCTGAAGACATCAAAAGGCAAACATCGTAAGAAAAGGAATTAAAAACAATAAAAACTGCCACTTTTACAGACTTCTCAGGATCACCACTGATTCTATTTAAACTGCAAATATTTAGTTGGGCTAATGTTATTCATAGCACAAAAACCAGAAAGACATATTTTTAGCCAAAATAAATATAAAAGTAAAATAAAAGTTTTGAGGAAAGAAACCTTTGATAATGAATATTTTAGAATTATTGTATGTCAAGTCATTTAACAGTGTCTTTCCCTGACAGTAAGTCCAGGATGTGAAACTCACCTCTGAGGGTAGCTTGGTGTCTGCATCACAGCCTGAAGGCTTAGACCAGGATACGTAATTTACCCAGAGCAATGGAAGTACAATTATTTTTAAGAGTTTAACAAGTGTTGAGATAGATCCGCTTTCTGAAAGCAAATATTTTGAAGAGGCATTTTCAGTTGCTAGAATTTTCAAAAACCATAGCATCAGTTGAACTTTTGATAACTCTCTCAAAACTCTCAAAAGTGTCTTACTTTTCTCCCCATGACAAACATCGTACAATTTAAATTTCTATTAAAATACTTTCAAAGATTTTTTTTTTTTTTTTTTTTTTTTGAGACAGAGTTTCGCTCTTGTTACCCAGGCTGGAGTGCAATGGCGCGATCTCAGCTCACCGCAACCTCCGCCTCCTGGGTTCAAGCAATTCTCCTGCCTCAGCCTCCTGAGTAGCTGGGACTACAGGCATGTGCCACCATGCCCAGCTAATTTTTTGTATTTTTGGTAGAGACAGGGTTTCACCATGTTGACCAGGATGGTCTCGATCTCTTGACCTCGTGATCCACCCGCCTCCGCCTCCCAAAGTGCTGGGATTACAGGCATGAGTCACTGCGCCCGGCCCACCTTCAAAAATTTAATTTAATAATCTAGGGCTGCAAACCCAGTATGGTAGCCATTGGCCATGTGTGGCTGTTTAAATATACATTAATAAAGTTAAAAATGAGGTTCCCCAATTATACTGGCCACGTGTAAAATGCTCTATGGCTGCATGTGGCTACTCACTACCATATTGTATAGCACAGGCATAAAACATTTCCAACATTGAAGAAAGTTTTGTTGAACAGCACTGATCTTAACTTGTCTTAGCGTATACTGTAGGTCACTCGTTTTAGGCTCTTAAAGGAGAAATGGACTGAGAGCTGTGAGTTAAGCATGTCTCCTCTCTCATGTGTGAGTGTTGGTGCCTTTATTTTATGCTAGTAAGAACTGTCAGTCTTCAAGAGGAAGCTCTGGAACTCAGGGGATTCCCAACCAATTTAGATATCGAACTCTTCATTGTGGAGTAACTTCCAAGACAGTGTGCAATGGAATAAACTGTGGAAAATGTGTATCTGTGGAGTAAGCAGCTTGACATCATGAACTGTGCCTTGCCCACATCTGTCTTCCCTTCTGTATGCAGAATAATGCTTCGCACATAGAAGGTTGTACTGTTGGCTTAACTGAGCCATGTGAAAGACAAAGCGGTAAACAGATACAGGGTGATAACCACTTGATTTAGTTTTCGGGCTCCTGAACCAATTGCTTCTGTACTGCAGCTATCACATAGATAAAACTGCCACTCGTCTATACTCAAGTACACATAACTTTTTAATTTCCACATTTAGATTCACTTCTCTGATGTACACCTTTCCACTTTTTTGAGAAAGCAGAAAACATCCTAACAGATGTATTGTTCTGAATTATCATTTAGCTTGCTAAATTGAGTTTCATTGAATTTTGTTTAAAACTGCAGTTTCTCTCAATGCAATGAAAAGAAAAATCAACAGGCTAAAAAAGCCCTCTATCTTTTTAGTATTGCAGTTTGGACATGTTCCAATTGGAATTTGATGCTTTAAAAACACCTTAAATTTTCTTTTTTGTGATCTTTCTTACCAGAAGCTGGCTGGAACATGGGAGGCAAGGGAATATTC